TTAGAAAAACCAAAAGACTCCAAAATAAACTCAGAACTTTTTTTTTTTTCATTCAGTAAAGTTTCAGGATACAAAATCAACATACAAAAATCAATAGCATCTCTATACACCAATAATGAAATCAGTTAAAAAGAAATTAAGAAGGCAATCCCATTCACAATAGCAATAATAAAAATAAAATTCCCAGGAGAAAATTTAACCAAGGAATTGGAAGACTTCTACAAAGAAAACTACAAAATACTGATGAAAGAAATTTAAAAAGACAAAAACAAATGGTAAGACATCCTATGCTCACAAATCAGAATTAGACATTGTTAAAATTACCATACTACCCAAAGCAATCTACAGATTCAAGGATATCTGTGATATCCTTCTGTGAAGGATTTTTTCACAGAAATAGAAAAAACAATCATACAATTCATATGAAACCAAAACAGAGCCTGAATAGCCAAAGCAATCCTGAGCAAAAAGAACAAGGAGGCATCAGGCTACCTGACTTCAAAGTATATTACAAGGCTATAGTGACCAAAACAGCATGGTACTGGTATAAAACCAGACACATACATCAATGGAACAGATTAGAGAACCCAGAAATAAATCCATGTATTTACAGCAACTGATTTTTAACAAAGGGGCTGAGAACATATATTGGGGAGAGGACAGACACCCTCTTCAATTAATGGTGCTGTGAAAACTGGATATCCATATGCAGCAGATTGAAACTGGATCCCTGTCTCTAAGTACAAAAATCAACACAAATGCCTTAAAGACTTAAACATAAGACCTAAAATGATAAAGCTACTAGAAGAAAACATGGGGAAAACGCTTTAAGACACTGGTCTAGACAAAGTTTTTATGGCCAAGATCTCAAACGCACAAGCAAGAAAAAAATAAACAAATGGTATTATATTAAACTAAAAAGCCTCTGGGCTGGGAATGGTGGCTCACACCTGTAAACCTACCACTGTGGGAGGCCAAAGTGGGAGGATCACTTGAGGCCAGGAGTTTAAGACTAGCCTGGGTAACACAGCACGATCCCATCTCTACAAAAAATGTTTTAAAATTAGCCAGGCCTAGTGATACACACCTGTAGTCTCAGTTACTCAGGGGGCTGAGGCAGGGGGATCGCTTGAGCCCAGGAATTTGAGGCTGCAGTATGCCATGATCATGCCACTGTACTCCAGCATAGGTGACAGAGACCCCCAACTCAAAATGTAAAAATAATAAGCCTCTGCATAGCAAAAGACATAATCAACAGAGTGGACAGACAAGTTGTTGACTAGAGAACATACATGAAAACTATTCATCCAACAAGCGGCTAATACACAGAATATACAAGGAACTGAAAGCAGTCAACAGTAAGAAAACAAAAAATCCCATTTAAAAATGGGCAAAGGACATAAACAGACATTTCTCCAAAGGCATACAAATAGCCAACAGCTATATGAAAAAATGTTCAACATCACTAATCATCAGGGAAATGCAAATCAAAACAATAATGAGAACACCCCACCCAGTTAGAATGGCTACCATAAAAAGACAAAAAATAACGGATGCTGGCAAGAATGCAGAGAAAAGGGAACTCTCATACACTGTTGGCAGGAATGTAAATTAGTACAGCCACTATGTAAAACAGCATGGAGATTTCTCAGAAAACTAAAAATAGAACTACTACACAATCAAAATCAGTATATCAAAGGGATACCTGTACCCTCATGTTTATTGCAGCGCTATTCACAATAGTAAAGATATGGAATCATACCAAATGTGCCCATCTACAGATGAATAAATAAAGTAAGTATGGGGTGTGGGTGTGTGTGTGGAGAGAGGGAGAGGGAGAGGGAGAAGGATGCGGAGAGGAAGAGGGAGAAGGATGGGGAGAGGAACAGGGAGAGAGAGAGGGAGGGGGAGGAGGAGAGGGGAGGGGAGGGGAGGGAGAGGGGTGGCAGGGGAGAGAGAGAAAGAGAGAGAGAGTGAAAGAGAATGAATGAATGAGAATGGGATACTACCTGGCCATAAAAAAGAACTAAAATCATGTTCATATGCAGCCACATGGATGGAACTGGAGGTTATTAGAGAAATATAAGCCAGGCACAGAAAGACAAACAGTGCATGTTCTCACATATATGTGGGAGAAAAAAAAAAGTTAATCTCATAGAGTTAGAGAGTAGGATGATAGACACGACAGACATTAGAGATTGGAAAGGGTGTGTCAGTGGGATGCGGGGATGAAGAGAGGCTAATGGGTACAAACACAGCGAAGAGGAATAAGAGGTAATGTTTAATAGCAAAGTAGGGTAGTTAACAATATACTATTTCAAAATAGCTGGAAGAGAGGATGTGAAATGTTCCCAACACAAAGAAATGAAAAATATTCAGTGATGGATATTCTGAATACCCTGACTTGATCATCACACAGTCTATGCATATAATAAAGCATCACATATTTCTCATAAATACATAAATATGCACAAATATTATGTATTAATTTAAAAATTAGACATTTTCTTCTACAAAACACCCTGTGAACAGGATGAAAGGAAAAGCTTCAAACTGAGAGAAAATATTTGCAAACCACGTATCCAACAAAGTATCTAAAATATATAAAGGACATTTAAAACACAACAATAAAAAAGCAAACAAGCCAATTAGAACATGGGCAGAAAACAAGAACAGAAATTTCATTGAAAAGGACTTACAGATGGCAAATAAGCACAGGAAACAATGTTCAACATCATTAGTAATCAGGGAAATCCAAATTAAAACCACAATATAGCAATACACCTACCAGAATGGCCAAAATAAAAAATAATGACAATACCAAATGCCGGCAAGAATGCAGAGGAATGTAAAATGGTACAGTCACTCTGGAAAGCAATTTGGTGCTTTCTTACAAAATAAACATGCAATAACCATACAACCCAGTAACTGCACTCCTGGACATTTATCCCAGGGATAACAAAAATTCATGTTCACACAAACATCTGTACAAGAATGTTCACGGCAGCTTTATTTGCAATAGCCAAGAAATGGAAACAACCCAAATGTCCATCAGCATCTAAAAGGAACAAACTAAGTGGGATATGTAAAAACCTAGATAAATCTCCAGAAAATTATGCTGAGTAAAAAAAGTCAATTCTAAAAGGTTGATTTCATTTGATTCCAGTTACGTAAGATTTTAGAAATGTCAAAATTTAAGAAATGAATATCAAATTAGTAGATGCCAGAAAGTATGACTAGGAGGCCAGAGCAGGGTGGGATGGAAATTGGCATGGTTATAAAGGGTAACAGGAAGGATCCCAGGGTAACAGAACACCAAGTCAGTGTCTTGACTATGGTGGTAGGTACATGAACCAACACATATGATAAAATATATGGAATACATGCAACAAAGAAATGAATACTACTAAAACTGAGGAAATCTGAATAGATTGATATATTGTATCAGTGTCAATATCCTGGTTGTGATATAGTGCTGTAGTTTTACAGTATAGATAAATTTATAGATACAAAATTGGAGGAAACTGGGTAAATGGTACCTGTAATCTCTTTGTATTATTTCTTACCACTGCATGAAAATCTACAATTATCTCAATAAAAATTCCAATTAAAACTAAAAGATAATTCAATACAGATATACATTCTCATGGAAGAATCCCTGTAACAACAGTAAGAGCAGTTTTAAGAACACACTAGCAGAAATATGACTGCCAAAGAGCAATCTAAAAAGCAGAAAGTCTGTGAGAGTCCACCTCCTTGTTTCTGAGAAGTTTTAATATTGATCACAGAAAAGACATTAACTCAAGGCATATCCAAGGTACCAAGATCTCAGTTATCCAGAAGAATACATCCAATGCTCAATAAGGATTGATTTGTGCTAAAACTATATCCTAAATTATTGCTAAGACTACTCTAAAGTTTAATTGGGAAAAAAAAAAATCAAAGTAACAGATTTAAGCATCTGCTAGAAGCAGAAACACATTCTCATGTTTTATAATTCATTCATCCATTTGACAAATGTTTATGCAACACCTTCTTTGAACAAAGGCCTGGGCTAGGGAAAGGTTACTCCGGCACTCTCACCTCCCACTACCCGGCCTTGAGCCTGCTCTTAAGCATCTTCCCAAACAGGAGGGGAGATCAGATAAAAAGAAAATGATACCTAATTTTATTGAGACAACAAGGCAGTTTCTGATCCAATACAATTAAACGTTTTTTGATTTATCCACAGATGACAGAGTGTGGTGACAAGGCTTATGATAACGTTAGAAATTTTAGTTTTCTTTTCATAGTGGTTATCATCACAGTAACTATAAAAATGCAATATAAACTATAAAAAAATGCAAGTAATAAACAGTGGCTTATATACCCTTTCTAGACCACTCCAGAAACAAACCCATGTAAAACAAAAATGCTAGTCTTTAAAACAAGCCAAATGAGGGCATAAAAAGACTAGCTAAGTGTCTCTAACCAAATCATTTTTTAGTATATGCCCCCTTCAATGACAAAACATCTGTAACATTCGCTAACAAATCCAAAGCACTTTACACTTTGTAAAGCAGCCATAATGGATGACTGCAAAATTCCTTAAGAATCTGTTTCATTACTCCTCTCAAATCAAATGAAGGGTCTCCAAAAGGACAGATCCAAAGCCCAATAAGGATTAACAAGGGCTTTAAAAGCAGCTCAGCTGACATCTTTAGATTCTCATAGTGGACAAAGCAGAACAAGTAAACTGTATCAACTGAGTTAAGATTATGTATCTATTGGGTACGCTTTACCTTCCAACTGTTAACAGGATTCTTTGATGTCTGCCATCAAATAGTAATTCAGGATTTGTGATTCTTAAATACACAAATCAGGCTATTCTCTATTTACTTACTGTCTAAGACTATTGACTCTTAGCTATAAAATTACTATTAACTGTCATAATATAAAAAAGGTCCAATATGTTCTCTCAAAATAACATCTTCCTAGAGTCAAATACAAATTGAACTTACCACTTTTTTAAAATCATCTTCTGCTTCATCAAGTTTTCCTTGTTTGAGTAATAAGTGACCTCTCTGTAATCTTGCCTAGAAAAAAAGGGGGCGGGGAATTATCTTGAATATTACAGATTTCTAAATCTTTTTAAACACTAAGAATAAAACTAAATAAACAAATTATTAATATTTATTTTTCCAATTGCACATCTGACTTGACACCAAGAATAATTCCTGGAACCAATGAATGTGTATAACTTTTCTTAAAGTATGCTTCCTTAAAAATACTTTTGTTCTACCCAAGAAAACTGAAAACATGTCCACACAAAAAGTTGTACATGTATGTTCACAATGATAGCCAAAAAGTGGAAATAACCAAATTCCCATCAACTAAATCAATATATAAATATATCCATACAATAGTATTCAGCCATAAAAAGGAATGATATTGACATGTGCTACGTGAATGAACCTTGAAAACACTATGCTAAGTGAAAGAAGTCAGACACAACAGGCCAAACAGTATACGATGTTATATTATATGAAACAAATGTATAAGTGGTTGCCAGGAGCTAGGGGAGCAATGGGGAGTGACCGCTAATAGGTACAGGGTTTCTTTGGGGGGTGATAAAAGTGTCTTACAAGTAGCTAGTGGTGACCACTGCACAACCTGTAAATATACTAAAAACCACTGAATACTTTTAAAGGGTAAGTGTGATGGCATATAAATTATATCTCAATTTTTAAAAATACTTTTTGCCCTACAGTAAAAGTTGCGTATGTTGGGACTTTACCAAAGCCTCTTCCCTTTTAACATGCATCAGTTTCTCCCCTTCATCTGATATTCCTCTTCTTCTAATGTGTATAATCCCATTTCTTTCAAGAATACCAACTCTGTATGACCAATGAAGCCACATCAATATTCCACTTAACCCTATATACATTACTTTTACAGTGCATAAAATTTTCCTAACCCTGTTAAATTCATCAATAAAAAGCAAGATTAAACTATCATAAAAAGCCATTTCAGCTATCATAATACTAAGAAAATGAGCCATTTAATCTTTGTGAAAGGTTGTGCTTGCTTAAGATAAATCTGAAAAATATTTGAGATTTGGGAATTCCATCTTAAAATATTAGTAATATCTCAAATCAAACATTCACCCCATATCTAATCAGTTATCTCCAATCCTTCTCGAAATACAGTAGGAAATAAATAAAAAATGGTTATCAAATTAATTCTGAAACCATCTAATTGGTCAGTGGTTGTCAATTCTGCCTCTGAAAGCCCCACCTGAGTTCTACCTCATGAGTCCCTCCCTGTTCACATGTCTGTCACAACCTTTATGGTGACCTGCCAATCATCAGGATTTCCTACTAGGCTACAAGTTTCTCCATGTCTGAAACTTGTGGATTGGTTCCAGGGGATGTCTCTGCTAATTTAGCATTTTATTGTCACCACAAATCATAGCCCAATTAAGTAATTCCCACTTTACTCTTCCTGGTACAGCCTTAAGTAGAACTGCCGTCAGTCACCTGATAGCCTCTTAATTCAGCCTCTTCATCAACTCATGTCTCAGCCTCACATCTTGCCTCACACTCCATCCTCCATACAGATTTGTCTTTCTAAACCACAAAGCTGACATCACTGCCAGACTTCCAAAAAAAAAAAACAAAAACCATCTAATGTACCCACTGTTCTCTTTCACACTGATGTTTGATTCTAGGGACTTTGAATTTCTCTTATTCCTCAGTCCACTATATCACTGTAGCTTTGATCTCTTCCAGCTATGTCTAGCATGCCAGTCCTCACCTTATGAAACAAATTAACTCTAACCAAGTTCTGTTAAGTTCCCCTTTAAAGAAAGTTTAGATATACTTACTGCAGTGAAGTCCATCTTCAATTGAATCACTTTAGTTAAATCAGGAAGTGCAGCTTTTGATTTACCCATAGCTAAAAAGACAGTAGCCCTCCGATAATAAGCAATATAGTTATCAGGGTCACCATCTGAAAATTAAAATATTACCTCTTAGTCATTTATTCAAAAATTAAAAAAAAAAAAACCAAATCACCTGGACAGTATCAGCATTTGCAACTCTACTAAGGCGGACATTAAGAAAAGAATCTCATCATCAAAAAGGAGTCATGTTGCCTAGCAAGATCAGTGCAAACAGACCTAGAATAGGGGTCAGCCAACTATAGCCCGAGTCACATCCAACCCGCAGGCTTCAGTTAAGAATGTTTTTTACATTTCTTAAAAGTTGCCCAAAAAAAGAAAGAACAAAAGAAAAATATAAGACTGTGGCTGCAAAGCTGAAAATACTTGTCTAGCCCTTTAGAAAAAAAGTTCGCCAACCCCTGGTCTAGAATATTAACTATATTCAACTTATAACCTTTTTTTGGGGGGGTGGGGGACAAAGTATCTTGTCACCCAAGCTGGAGTGCAGTGGCATGATCATGGCCCTCTGCAGCCTTGATCTCCCACGCTCAAGCAATCCTGCCACCTCAGCCTTCTGAGAGGCTGGGACAACAGGCGTATTCCACCACAGCCAGCTAATTTTTTTTTTTTTTTATTTTTTGTAGAGAGTCTCACCATGTTGTCCAAGCTGGTCTTGAACTCCTGGCTCCAGCAACCCTCCTACCTCAGCTTCCCAAAGTGCTGGGATTACAGGCATGAGCCACTGCACCCAGCCTCAACTCATAACTTTTATAAGTATGCAATTCAGTTTGTCTCTGCGGAGATTTTCCTAAGTGAAATACTAAGAACGTGGACTACGCACATTAGTGTACAGGGTTTTAGAAATGTATAAACTTCTGACTAAATTGATATATTGAATGTATAATCTCTGCGCCCTCACAAACTCCAACTAGAATGGAGGTGAAGAAATAAAGGTACAAGGACAAAGGAGGAGAACAGAAATGAGGGAGACTAGAGAAAGGGACTAGAAAAGTTAACATTTGTAAGGAAAGCAGAAAGATGAATTAGGTTTCTGAGCTAATTTTACTCTGCTTATTAGCACCTACAAAGTAGAGAAAAGAGTGGATTCAATCAGAAGCAAATCTTCTGCAGAACAATCCTTCTAAAACGCAATCTGGAAATATAAGTATATAAAGAATTCTAAAACTAACCTTGACAAAAGCCGGCCATCAATCTTTTAAAAATAAAAGATTTATCTGCTCAGGTGTTCATCATCATAAGATACACAATTAAACTCCCTAAAAGTTATACTCCTAAAGTTTTTGTCATTTGGAAAAATTACAACAGGCGAATCTATATGGCAGGACAGTCCATAATCATTCAAAATTATGGTTGTGAACAGTTGTTAACGGAATTGAAAATGCCAGGGGAAGGTGGGTCAGAAAAAGAGATTAGGCTATACAAACAAACACGAAAGAAGACATACAAATGGCCAATGAGCACATGAAAAGATGCTTACCATCACAAATCATTAGGAAAATGCAAATCAAAACCACACTGATCTGCATGGGGGAACAAAAATACTAATAAAAACTAAAAAAGCAAAACCAAAAAACAAACAAACCACATTGAGATACCAGTTCACACCCATTAGGATGGCCATTATGAAAAATAAAAAGATAAAATAACAAGTGTTCACAAGGTGTGGAGAAATTGGAGCACTTGGGCACTGTTGGTGGGATGTAAAATGGTATGGCCACTGTGGAAAACAGTAAGATGATTTCTCAAAAAATTAAATGTAAAATTACCATGTGGTCCAGTAATTCTACTACTGTGTATATACACCAAAGAAATAAAAGCAAGGGTCAAATATGTATTCAAACACAGCTGTTCACAGCAGTATTATTCACAATAGGCCAAAGACAGAAACAACCCCAAAGTCCGTCAGTGGATGACTGGATAAACAAAAGGTGGGATATACTATACATACAACAGGTTATTCATTTAGCGTTAGAGAGAAATGAAACTCCCAGGCATGCTACAACATGGATGAACCTTAAAAACATTATGCTAAGTGAAATAAGCCAAGACACAAAAGGAAAATATTACATATGAGGTACCTAACACACTCAAATAATAGAGATAGAAGGTAGAATAGTGGTTGCCAGGGGCTGGTGTAGAGGGTTAGGAATAGGGCCCTATTTTTTAATGGATACAGAGTTTCAGTCTGGGATAATGAAAAAGTTCTGGAGATGGATATTGATGACTCCCCAACAATTTGAACACACTTAATGCCACTGAATTGTACACTTACAAATGGTTAAAATGGTAAATTTTCATGCACTTTACCACAATAAAAAAGTAAAAGTATGAACCAGTCAGAAAAAACTGTAATTTTTTAAAAAGGAATTGGGTATTTTAACAATAAAAAAACCTTCTTTTTCTTAAATCTAAAAACGAAAATATATGATTCCAGCTAATCGTCACTAAAATTTCTTTACTAAACAACTTCCTTAGGAGGCAAGGACAGGAGAGCAAAATCAGTAGCCTGAATATAGGATATTTCTTACAAAATACTGTAATTAACTTGAGCAAAGAGTAGGAAACAGAGTAACTACATTTAGAACATGTTTGATATACAGTATTTTTCAGTTCAGTTTATATTTTATTTGTATGGTGCAATAAATTAAAATTTTATGGGTTTGGTTTGTGAACTGGCCATAGAATGATTTCACACCTAAGAATTACTAACATTTAAGTGACGCACCAGAGAGCCGAAGGCAGTTCACTGCATGTCAGCAGTGGCTATCCATGCAGAGATGGGGTTTCTTCTTCCTGCAGTCCATGTGTTCCAAAATGTTTCACAACGCATATGGATTAATTTTATATTCATTAATTTTTTTAAAAAACTTAAGTTATCCAGGGTTATTCACACTAAGCAAAGAATAATACCATAAATACCATGATTTAAGGCCTGAAGAACACAACCCCATCAATTTCATATGTCCAAATCCTTCTCAATCTTTGAGGCACAGCTCAAATGACTTATTTGACTATACATGGAAAAATAAACCTTTCATTCTCTCAAATTCCATAACATTCTATAATTCCCTTACTGCACCTAACACTAAGCAATGATTATTAAATATTTATACACATTTGGCCGTCTTTATTCACGGGTTCCGCATCTGTGGATTCAACCACCCTCAGACTGAAAATATTTAGGGGAAAAAAAACTGTGTCTGTATTGAACATGTACAGACTTTTTTCATTATTCCCTAGAAAGTACAGTAAAACAATTATTTACACAGCATTAACATCGTATACAGTAAACTGCATTAGATTTCTATTTGGAAAAACCTGACCATTCCAATCCAAGAAGAAAAAATCTCCAGAGAGGACTGCGTATGACTTAACTTTTGTATTAAGGATCCCATCATATACAAAAATTGTCTACATACAGTATTTCTGGAGTGTTCAGTTTCACTAATTTTACTGTTCAGTTCTTAGGCATTTTAAGATAGGAAACGGAATTGGAACTGCAATTTATAACACCAAACCTACAAAAATAAAGAATCTGTTGTACTATGAGATATATATTTGGTCTTCTTCCAGTTTCCTGACATACAGCTCCTGCAACCCATGGGATCTCTGGAGTGATTACTTTTTTGTATACTAATGAAATGGTTGGTAGCTGGGCACCCCTAGATAGTTTCAGGATGGGTAGTTGCCAGGGGAACCTACCAGGTGAAAAGGTTGGAACTTTGAGTACCCTCTACCCTTCTAGGGTTGTTGAAGGTTGAATTGGTTACCAATAGCCAATGATATAATAAATCATGCCTAAGTGATAAAGCTTCCACAAAAACCTAAAACGACAGGGTTTGGAAGAACTTCCATGCAGCCAAAAACATGGAGGCTCCTGGAGGACGGTACACTCAGAGAGGGCAAAGGAACACCATATCCCTTCCCATATGCCTGGCTATGGATCTCTTCCATCTATTTGGTTGTTCATCTGTATCCTCTGTAATATCCCATAATAAACCAGTAAACCTAAGTGTTTCCCTGAGTTCTGTGAGCTGCTCTAGCAAATTAACTGAACCCAAGGAAGGGGTCATGGGAATCCTCATTTACAGCCAGTCAGTCAGAAGCACAGGTAAAACCACCAGGGCCTTAGGAATGGCTTCTGAAGTCAGGAGCGGTCTTGAGGCGCTGAGCTCTCAATCTGTGGGATCTTAGGCTACCTCCAGGTAGACAGTGTCAGAACTGAACAGAATTAGATGATATCCAGCTGCTGTCTGCTGAAGAATCTGTAGGAGTACTTGGTGGAGAGAAATTCCCACACATTTGGATGAACAGAGGTCACAGACGTATTCTGCACTGTGAGAATACAGCAGGAGAAACTGAATTTCTTTGTACTCCGAGAACCAAATGACGATAGTTTAATACATGAATCAAGAATCAATTTTCCGGCCAGGCACAGTGGTTCATGCCTGTAATACCAGCACTTTGGGAGGCCGAGGCGGGTGGATCACTTGAGGCCAGGAGTTCAAGACCAGCCTGGCCAATATGGTGAAACGCCGTCTCTACTAAAAATATTTAAATTAGCCAGGCATGGTGGTGCACACCTGTAATCGCTGCTACTCCAGAGGCTGAGGGAGGAGAAACGCTTGTACCCGAAAGGTGGAGGTTGCAGTGAGCTGAGATCACATCACTGCACTCCAGCCTGGGTGACACTGCGAGACTCCATCTCAATTTTCTTAGAGGCATGGGGTCACTTGCATGGTAAATCAAAATAGCCTTCCCTGGTTCTTCATCTTAAAATACCAACAGTTCCTGGAAGTACAGTCCATTCCTACATCACTGTGCATGAAGTAGCAACTGAAACAAGACTCGGTTTAGAAATGCATGCTTCGTTTTTACCAACACAAGATTTGATAATCTTGAAAATAAGTACTTTTCCTATTATCCATCCAATATATAATATTGTTCATTATGTAAATTATTTGCAAGCCTACATATGGAAATACTATATTTCATTTTAAGCCACATAATTCAAATCCTTATACTAGCTTATTATTATGGGAGATGG